CTGTTAGTGATGCTGTGTAGATCAAATGATCACAAAAAGCTTACATTTTTGAATGATAGTTAAGAAAAATTAGTATTCCTTATTTGGCAAACTATGAAACGGTCAAGATATTTTTATGTCCTGATAAAAAAATATCCTTGACAGTTATACTTGTGTCTGAAACTGGTGTAGGGTTTGGGAAATAGAAGGACTGGTGCAACGAGTGTAAATGCAGAGAGTTCAAGGTCACATTGCGTATTTACTTGTGTTGTTGAATCTCGGTGCAAGGTAAGCTGTCAAGTTGAGGTGCTATCATCTTTTTTTTTTTTAATTTATAGAGTAGTGGGAATGTATGATGGAATAGATGTCTGACTTTGTTGAAATGTACTTTTTTGTAGAATGTTGCAGATGGGTTAAGCAGCTTTAAGACAAGCCGAATAAACCTTGTTGATCTGGCTGGTTCTGAACGACAAAAATCAACTGGGGCAGCAGGAGAACGTCTGAAAGAAGCTGGGAATATTAATCGATCGCTCTCTCAGCTTGGGTATGATTCAGAGTAGTCTCTTTGGTTATTTTTAGATCTCAGTTAGCATGGAATTTTTTTTTTTTTTATAATGCAGGATGCACTAAAGAACTGGCACTTAGCTTCTGATGTTCTTGTGTCTTCTAGTGTTTGATTATAAAGAACTGACACTTTGTGATAATGGAAAATAATTTGACATATGATGGTAGTAGCTTATGAGGATCTTGTGTCTTTTAAGCAGTGCTTTTTGATATTTAATACTAGAACAACTATCTCTCCATGAAAGGGCAACACTGTAGGAAGAGCATGCTGATTGTCTTATCAAAGTGGATTTATTGTATATCCTTCACCCTTTTGCTGATGATTATAGGGATAGACATACAAATTTTGACTTGGTGTGTTCACCAGTCCTGTCATTTGCGGGACGTTTTTCCAAAAACTGAATTATCAACTACATGTTTACCATACAAATTTGTTACGTGCAGGAACTTGATTAACATCCTCGCAGAGATTTCTCAAACAGGGAAGCCAAGGCATATACCTTATAGGGATTCCAGATTAACATTTTTATTGCAAGAGTCTCTTGGTGGGAATGCAAAGTTAGCAATGGTTTGTGCAATTTCTCCTTCTCAAAGGTAATGCAGAACCTCTATTTCCACTTCAGAAGTTATTTATCCTCCATCTTCTGCAATTTTAAGTATGTACGGAAAATTGCAGTTGCAGAAGCGAAACCTTCAGCACCTTGAGATTTGCTCAGCGTGCAAAGGCAATCCAGAATAAGGCTGTTGTCAATGAAGTGATGCATGATGATGTAAATTTCTTGCGTGGAGTGATACGCCAGCTGAGGGTACGGATTCTTTTACATATATCATAAGATAGACATATAAATGTGAATATGGCTTTTGATGAATAAATTGAGCAGGATGAACTACAAAGGATGAAGGATGATGGAAATAATCCAACCAATCCAAATGTTGCTTATTCCACTGCATGGAATGCACGTAGAAGTTTGAATTTATTAAGAAGCTTCGGTCTGGGTTATCCAAGGTCCTTACCTCATGAAGATAATGATGGTGATATTGAGATGGAAATTGATGAGGCTGCTGTTGAAAGGCTTTGTGTTCAAGTGGGTTTGCAATCATCTTTAGCTTCTGAGGGGATCAATCATGATATGAACAGAGTAAAGAGTATACATTTATGTGATGGCCAATCTATAGAAAAGCGGCTTCCTGAGGACTCAGATGTTGCCATGGAGGATGCTTGTTGCCATTCTGAGAACCATGAACCAGAAACAGTGGATAATGTGAGAACTGAGACAGAGACTGGCATCACAGAAAATCAGATCAAGACACACTCAACTTTAGATCACGACTCCAGTTTCCAGCCTCTTTCAGTCAAGGATGCTCCTTGTTCTTCACTGAACAAGTCGGAGGATGTGCCATCATGCCCTGACATAGTTACTTCAGAAAATGTATTGATAGCTGATGGATTAGATGATCCAGAGCACTTAGTAAATTCTGCATCTCCTAGTCTTTGTATAGATCCAGTTGGTGCGACTCCTGTATTAAAATCTCCCACACTGAGTGTCTCTCCTACTATTAGAAATAGCAGGAAAAGCTTGAAGACATCGGAAATGTCAACAGCATCTCAGAAGGGTACTGAAGGAGACAATTTAGTTACAGAAGATGCGGAACCATCTCTGGCTACATCCAAAAAGATGAATAACTGTTCTAGTGCTTTGTCTACACAGAAGAGCAAAGTTTTTCCTGTACGGACTGAGCGGTTGGCATCTAGCCTCCACAAAGGAATTAAACTTCTTGAGTCGTATTGCCAGAGTACAGCTCAAAGACGGTCGACATACAGGTTTTCCTTCAAAGCTCCAGATTGTAAGCCTTCAACCTCTATAAGTAAGGCTGATGCAGGTGTGCAGACCATTCCCGGAGCTGATGCAATATCAGAGGAGAATACAAAAGAGTTTCTGTGCAGTAAATGCAAATGCAGAGAAGAATTTGATGCCCAGCAAATGGGTGACATGCCAAATCTCCAGGTTATAGTACCTGTTGACAACTCGGAAGTGACAGTAAAAGCCAAGAGCCAAGTTCCCAAAGTAAGAACAGTGACGTTTTATCTGAAATAGATTTAGATAGTTATTCATGGTTTATTTTGTTTTCACATTCATATAATGTGTGCCTCCAATGGATCGATATTTACACTTTACAGGCAGTGGAAAAGGTTCTAGCAGGATCTATCAGGAGGGAAATGGCTCTAGAAGAGTTCTGCACTAAACAAGCTTCTGAGATAACCCAACTTAACCGACTGGTATGATACTTGCTTCTTTTTCGTTTTTTAATCTGCCTATGCTCTACATACCAAGAGAAGCTTTGTAACTGTATCCTCGAACATAAATTGGTCCAAATCGTATAATAGGTACAACAATACAAACATGAGAGAGAGTGCAATGCCATCATAGGACAAACAAGGGAGGACAAAATTATTCGCCTTGAAAGCCTTATGGATGGCGTATTATCTAAGGAGGATTTCTTGGATGAAGAATTTGCTTCTCTCCTGCATGAACATAAAGTAATTGTGGCTTCTCGTTTTGTAAAAAGATATTTGACTCCATTCCGAAAGCTTTCTCTGACATATAATGTTACAGCTTCTAAAGGACATGTATCAAAATCACCCTGAAGTGCTTCAGACGAAGATTGAGTTGGAAAGAGCGCAAGAAGAGGTCGAGAATTTCAAGAACTTTTATGGTGACATGGGAGAAAGGGAAGTGTTATTGGAAGAGATTCAGGATTTAAAGATGCAGCTACAGTGTTACATTGACCCTTCTCTTATATCAGCTCGGAAAACGTGTTCCCTGCTAAAGCTATCATACCAAGCTCCCCCAGTTGATGCTATTCCTGAATCACAGGACAAGAGTCTCGTGAAGACATTAGAACAGGAAAGACTTTGTTGGACTGAGGCAGAGACCAAATGGATTTCTCTCGCCGATGAATTAAGAACTGAGCTTGAAGCCAGTAAGGTGCTGTTGAATAAGCAGAAACATGAACTTGAAATTGAGAAAAGATGCGGGGAAGAGTTGAAAGAAGCAATGCAGATGGCCATGGAAGGGCATGCACGGATGCTTGAACAATATGCAGACCTGGAAGAGAAGCATATGCAATTGCTTGCTAGACATAGAAGGATTCAAGACGGAATAGATGATGTCAAAAAGGCAGCGGCAAGAGCCGGAGTCAGAGGAGCAGAGTCCAAATTCATAAATGCACTTGCAGCAGAAATTTCAGCCTTAAAGGTAGAAAAAGAGAAGGAGAGACAATACTTGAGGGATGAGAACAAAAGTCTCCAAACACAACTAAGAGATACAGCTGAAGCCATACAAGCAGCTGGAGAATTACTTGTTCGGCTTAAAGAAGCCGAAGAGGGATTGACAGTTGCACAGGTATGTTAGTACATTTTCTAAACATTTCAGGTCACATTCTTGATTAAGTCTGTTGCTTATGCATGTTCTTACATAAAATCTCTGTGGCTCGTGTCAACAGAAACGTGCAATGGATGCAGAGTATGAAGCTGCAGAAGCATATAGACAGATTGACAAGCTGAAGAGGAAACATGAAAACGAAATCAACACTCTTAACCAACTCGTCCCTCAATCTCATATTCACAATGAATGCTCTACCAAATGTGATCAAGCCGTGGAATCATCAGAAAATGCAAGTGAGCAGCAATGGAGAGATGAATTTGAGCCGCTTTACAAAAAAGAAACCGAGTTTTCAAATCTTGCTGAGCCCTCTTGGTTTTCGGGTTACGATCGGTGCAACATATAATTCTAATATTCCACTATTTTGTGTGTAATGTGTATAAAATGGGTGTCTGATTCGGTGATATAAGTCCAAAAAAGGTTTCACTTGATTTCACTTGCAACTCATTCTACACTTTATAACCCATTAGGTACAAATGACGCAAATTCAAATTTTGGGTAGCGAAGTACTCAACTGTAACCCAAAATCTTCAACATTAAGTACCTCAGCTTGAAACAAACTCATCACTTGAAGGTAGCGAAGTACTCTACGAGTTCATTTGGAACTGAGTTTGAGTCTCTGAGAATCTTGGAATGCTCTTGCCAGGAGCAAAATACCCTGAAGGAAGTCTTGCCTCTGAGCAAGATATCAACTGTGTTTACTCTCCCAGCTGCAACATCTACGCATACATATATTCTACTCATCAGATACAGAACATTCTACAAAAGGCAGAGCTAGTTTTTGCTATCAATGAATACAATGTTTCTACTGTTTTTACAGTTTTTGCTTCCACTGTAAAGTGAGACTGAACAAAAAGAGTAGCTTTGTAGATTAAAAGTAGAGCAGTCCGGTTCACCGGTTCAATCCACAGAATTTTGCTGGGTTTTGTGGGTCAATGAACATTCCATTTGATACTGACCAGATCCGGTCGGAGAGCCTGGTTCGGTTCGGTTTTGACACATTTCGTTTCACTTCTCCGGTCAATTTGATATGTTTAATTTCCCGAGCTGTTGCTTCTTCGTCGATCGCTAGATCTCCTTACGATCTCTCTCTTCTCTCACGAGTCTCCAAGTCGTCCAAGGTATGCAATTGCTCACGATCATGGTTTTAGGGCTTTTTCTTTGACCGATTGATTCATAGGCTCTGATTTAATTGACTTTCTCATTTTCCAAAAGTTTCAGACTTTTCAGTAGATTTTGTGATTTGTGTGATTGGGTCTCTCAATTTCCAAACTAGAGAGCCTCCGCCGTCTTTAACTATCCCGGTAAGCTTCTCCTCCACCATTCCCATTTCTTTGTGCATCGGGTTTAGAGGAGATTAATGAGTATTTGATTTTGTTTAAAGTTTAGTTTAGTTTTTGTAACTTTTCATTAGTGCAATCTGATTTAGTTTGCTACTTGCTCATGTCTCATTTTCTGTAGATCTCAAAGTAGAAGGATTGCTAAACATGATTAGTCTCTATTCATGTTGAAACTTCACCTAGATTAGTCTGGATTTAGTCAGTGCCTTGTTGTTACTTCGAGTTGATTTCATAGAAACTCTAACCTCGGGGATCTTGCTATTTTACTCTCTTCTTATCAGGTTAAACATTTGAGAGGGTTTGGTTTTCTTGTAGACATTTGATCCTAAAGTTGCTTTCTTCTTGATGTTTAGTATATAAAGTGGTAACCATAACTGTCTGATACTAAAGATGCTTTCTTGTTATGTTTGGATTACTTTTTCAGCGCATAACGATTCATCGAAAGAAAAAGAATCCTTACTTGTATTGAGTAGAAGAACATAATTTCTAAAGCATGGTAAGAACTTCGAATGTAACTCTCTCATTCTACCTATCTCGCTACATTAAGGGGGAAATTTAAACTCTTCTCATCCTCTATATGAAAATAGTAGTTACTCTTCTGCATTAACTTTTATACTTCACAAAGATTGTATATCATTCAAACATGTCCTGGTTAGAAATAATTCATCTAAAAACGTCTAATGCATGCTGAGTTATTGCGATATTTAGTTTAAAATTTGCTTCTGATGGGTCTTTGATATTCCAGGCAAACTCATTACGGTTGTATCTAGCATGCATAAAAAATACACTCGAGGCAGCCATGTGCTTACAGGTACAAACTATTTTGGTTCAATATATCATGCCATAGGTCTCAAAGTTTTTACTTTATGGTTTACTATGTTTAAGGCAATAAAAGGTTCATGTTTGCGTAGTCCCTCATCCACGTTCCACCTCTGGTGTGTTACTCTCACGTATTGGTTGTTTACTTATTGATTAGGGATAATGTACAATTATTCACTTTTACTTTTGGCATTTTTTCTCACAATATTTGGTGTTGAATTTAATGTCGAAAAGTCTTTGCATTTCGTACAAGTAGGTGAAAGGGGCCATGTAAAGTCCTTGTAAGATTCAGCTTTACATGGTATATATTCCTGAAAGCTTCTATATTTCTCTTCCTGCAGAACTTTCCTTGTCAAGAAGTCGAAAGGCATAATAAACCAGAGGTTGAACTAAAGTATGTAAGCTTGTTACAAGAAGATGCATGTGAGGATCGAATGCTCTTGTGCCATTGTCATTTCAAGTTGTAGAATCTTACTATCACCATGTTTTTGCTAATTTTTGTAGGACAAGCCCAGAACTTTTACTAAATCCTGTAAGAAGTTTGTTTGTTTCCCTCTCAATTCAGCATTGATATTTCACCCTCTTCTTACCTTGGTATTGTAGTTGACTGTTATTCTTTTGCAACATGCAGGTATTGATATGCCGTAATGAGGCTGAAAAGTGTTTAATAGAAACATCTATAAATTCACTCAGGATAAGCCTCAAGGTGATTGTTGATCTTGCCTTAGCTTTTCCTTCAATCACTTGCAAGAAGAGCTCCTGTTGACACACTGTTCAACATAGGCTTTGAGTTGTTTTCCTTTCCTGTACCAATTTTTCCTTTTTCACTGTATCCTTTCAGTCTCTCTCCCGAGATAACTTTCCTGAGCCGTGACTTGAACGTATGTATTGTCCTGCTGTTAAAAATATGTGTTATCGTTAATTGACAGGTCAAACAAGCGGATGAACTTGAAAACATACTAACCAAAAAGTTCCTTAGATTTTTGTCCATGAGGGCAGAAGCTTTTCAAGTACTGAGGAGGAAGCCAGTGCAGGTAGACCTTCTTCTTAATTCAACGCTTAGCTACTTGTAAATGCTACTATTTTTTTATCTGGCTGTTGTAATGCATTCCCTCTTCTGTTGAGGTTCTAATTATGATGGTGAACGTATCACTAATTGGTTATATATGACATCCACAGTTTTCATCGCTTTTTCTTCATTTTAGCGTCCTGCCCTAACACTTTATAACTTCACATTATACGCTTAGGATGATGGATGGTTTATATGTACCATACTTGTGAATTCTTTTGAAATTTTAAATCATGGCACAAACCTTTCATATCTTTTTCCCTTTTATGAATCATGAATCATCTCACCATGTGGATATGCATGACTTGGCTTTAGATGATTTACTTTTTATCCCCTGCACTGTGTGAATGATTCATTCCCTGATCCGCTTCAATTGGTTTCTCTGTTGGTATGAACAGGGCTATGACATTAGCTTTCTAATAACAAACTACCACTGCGAGGAGATGCAGAAGCAGAAGCTAATCGATTTCATTATTCAGTTTATGGAGGCAAGTGTTTTTCCAAACCTAATGTTTTCTTAGTAGCACCCGAACAATGAAATATGTCTTGAGTAGACTCACATCGTTGTGTTTTCTCACAGTACTAATTTAAGAAGTAGTATTCTGAATAGTTGGCCTTTAAATTTGAGTTGTTTCTACAAAAGTCGAAAGAGATTATTTACTCTGATTATGTCCTCCGATATACTTATCTCATCTTAATCAGATTTATAAAACTTGAAGTGTAACTATTTTTACCTTGAAAACTGCAGGATATAGAGAAAGAAATAAGAGACTTGAAGGAGTCAGTGAACACCAGAGGACGACTCGTTGCGACAGAGTTTCTGAAACAGTTCATGTAAAGCAGCACTTGAGGTATTATAATGTAACCCCTCATTGTATCAACCACTCATTATTTGGTTAAATTCCATATACACTTAGACATTCTCTTCATTGTGCTACTTCCTCTGTTCTTCTAACACAACTGAAATACCGAACCATCGGCTTGGTACATTGTAGCGTATGTAATGCAATACGTATAAAATATGTTCTGTTGATCGTAGATGTTGGAACGTACAATCCCAGAAACCAAAATGTTGTTTTATTTACCACAAAAGGACCAACAAATTGTCAATCGTTAGAATGTTCCCTATGCATAGATTCACAACACATACCAAGCTCTTGTAGCTCGTCTGGTCTACGAAGGCACACTAATTTCGATGCTCGGGGAGGGCAGTGAAGAAGGTACATTAAATTATGAAGACATAAACCATTATTATCAGCAAATTCTCAAATCTTATTATATAAAATATGGTTTTCAAAGTTAATAACTCACCTGATTGTGACATGTGTCAAATCTATCAATTTTAGATTTTGCCATGGTCAAATAAATATTTTCTTTTTATTAATTAAAAAAGGAAAAAGATAATTATAAATTTAAACAGTTTTAAATATAAAAAGATCACTATAAGGAAACTATAATATATTTTCATAAGAGATTTTTCCATGTGGCAAATAAAAAATGGTTTTAACAAATTAAAAAATATGTATATTTTCCATAACAATAGAAATTAAAAAATTATGCTAAACGTTTTATTTATAAATTACTAACTGTACAAGAAAAAAAATTAAAATTAGAAAAAAGATTGTAAATACTCACCTCTTTATAAACGAATAGATTGTCTCATATTTTCTCACCAAGCAAACTAACTTCTTCAGAACCACTACCATTTCTTTAACTTCATTCTATAGTAAAGTTTTTCCTCTTTTTTTGTCATAAATTATTTTTAGGATATTATTAGTAACTAACTTTTGACTCAAAAATAATTAAAGAAATAGTCATGAGTAGAAACTAACGTTTTTCAGCGATGTAATAGCCCTCAAACAAAAGACAAAACATACATGTAATTAGGATTTTAAAAACAAAAAATAAACACTAATAACACGAAATCTAAAAATAAAGAAAATCAATACTGGAATTTTAACGACGAAAGAGAGACATCCACCTAGAATCAGAGGAAAAAACAATGTCATTTAATAAAATAGCATATCATACTAAAAGAAATAGGAGTAACATGTGATTGTTAATGGAGGTGACGATGGTGGTGGTTGATGGTTACGGATGTGGTGATAGATTGACTTTAAAAATAACATGAATCATGTAAATATTATTTATCATATATTGGAAATATATCATGTCATTTATATATATTTATAGATGTGGTGATAGATTGACTTTAAATATAACATGAATCATGTTGTTGGAAAGAGACTCGGCTCGATGCCAGAGGAGAAATAAGATCAGTTAAGAAAGAGGAGAAGAGGCGGTAATGGTGGTGTTAGTTATAAATAGGCCAACATTTATATTAGATTGTGCATTATGCATAATAAATCTATTTAAAAATAATTAAAATGCTACATTTTCTAAAATTAAAATATAGATGTTTATATAATTTTAGTTAAGCTTAAAAAAAAAAGTGATAATTTCGACCAGCAACCCGTGCAATGCACGGGTCCATATCTAGTACATTATACAGTAGAACCTCTATAAATTAATACTCGATAAATTAATAAACACGATAAATTAATAAATTTTGCCGGTCCCGAGTCAGGCCAATATAAAAATTAACTAAATTCGATAAGATAATAAGATAATAATTTTTTTGAAATCCCTATATAAAAATATGGTCCCTATAATATCATAAATTAATAATCATGTAAATTAATACATATATATAAATATATATATATATATATAAATATATATATATATATATATATAAATATATATATATATATATATACATATATATATTAGGGGTTTTCATAAAAATAGCCAAAATTTACTTTAAGTTTTCAAATTTTATAATATACATCAGTTTTGTTTTAATAACTAGAATTTAACCCGCGGTACACCGCGGGGCTATATTTGTTTTTAAGAATTTTTTATTTTTGAAGATTAACTGAAGATATAACATATTAATTTGTATTTTTAAATGTAATAAATATCTATGTATTATTTAGTGTATGATTAATATTTTTAGGTTTAATTTAAAGTAGAGGTATGAAATCATACAATTCATTAAGTAACGATGTATGGCGGATTTAAAAAATTTGAAATGTTTGGTTGTTTTGGGATTTTAATATGAAAATATTTAAAGTATGTAGGAAATGTTATGTATGTGAATAAAGGATTATTTGGCTTTGTTTTGTTTTGTTCTAGTATATATAAAGAGAAGAAGACCATTTCCGCGGGACGATTTGATTTCTAAAATTTGTGACTTTTTAAATTTTATGAATATGTATTATATATAAAAGTTTGCAACTTGTTTCATTTTTGAGACATTTATATTTTATAATTTATAATTTTCATTAAGTAACGGTATACCGTGAGATAATTTTTTGTTTTATATAATTTTTAACTAAATCACGCTGATTCGATATGTCTAATATGGGTGGTGTTAAAAAAAAAAATTTAATCTGTACTGAAGCAACGGGTTAATGATATTATTGATTCAAACCCGTCCCGCCATATAATCTTGTTCTTCAATATAATTTGTCCCGTGTTATTTTAATTTTTTATATGTTCAAATATTCATAATATTATAATTTTTATTTATTTGAATATATCAATTCTAATATTTTAAAAAAATGAAAAGTTTAAAACTTACACTCTTTCTATATTTTTAATTTTTAAAATTGACACTCTTTATATATGCACTTCTAAAATATTCTATGCATTTCAAGTTATTAATAAAAAATTAAAAAAATTGAAATCAATTAAAAAAACAAATCTTTGTTAATAGGAAACCAGAACCTTTATTAATAGGAAACTGGAATCTTTAAAAAAAAAATGAAAACCAAATAAATTGACATCTCATTATTACTGATCTTTCACATGTAAATCAATTAAAGAGTTAGAATAAATATCTATATATATTTTAAACAGGGATAATCTCTTTTAGAAAAGATAATATAACTTTCCATGTTTTGATTTTGGCGAGGCGAATTAAACACACCACCACCTCATCGCCAGCATTCTGAGAGGCATTCCAAAGGGATTCAACAAATATCTCTTATAGAGTATATGGTAAACGTTAACCACTACTATATAAAATGCTTATTAATATAAAATATCAAAACACGTAAAAGATAAAAAAAAAAAAAAAAAAGGAAGAAAATAATTGGTAGCAGATATTTTGAAACAAATATGATGTCCTAAGCAATCTTGCTAACCCGAAATCTGATAAATAAGCGTTGCATTCATCATCTAGGAGGATGTTGCTTGGTTTAAAATGGTGAAGCACCCGTGGGACACATCTGAATTTAGTAGCACTATCATAAATATCAAATTTTATTTTATATGTATTTGCAATTATAAAAAAAAAAAACAAAAAAAGAGAAGGAGAACGTACATACCATTGTGACAGTAGTTCTCCCAAACTTGTCTTTATTTATAAGGAGAGAGAGTGTGTCAAGCAATTTAGGTTTAACAAAAAAAATATAGAAAACATAAATGATATTGCCATTTAGTATCTTAACAAATTAATTATTTATTTTTATCTTAACGATTTTGGTATTACAAAAATATTTAAGGAAATTAAACAATGTTGCGTTTGGAAATATTTAGCATTAATTTGAATATTTGAGATTTTAAAACAGAAAACGGAAAAAGGGGTGAAGACTTTTCAATTAGGATATTTCAGCATTAATGTTATTCGTATTAGCATATCTGTATTAAAAATCAGTATCTTACTCAAATATATCATTAAGGGTTTTCGAAATTTAAGGAAAGTAGGATATGTAGGATTTAAAAATTTTTGATATTGCCATAATCGTTTTGTTAAAGATTATAACAAATCTCGTTTATTTATTTTTTATGACAGAATTAATTCAAGATCCGATTGCAAAAAAATCCGGGTCAAAATAATGAATTAACCCGACCCACCAATGGCATAAGTTGTAAATACTTCTCAACTTCATGATTTATTTGCTAATTGTGATCCAAAAATGTATATATAGATCGTATAGGTTTTTCAAATACAACTATAGATGTTATTATTTATAAATTTTAATTTATGTATATCTTTATATATGTAAACTCTATAATCTTTGTTATTCATTGTAAAAAAAAAAATTGTTTTCTCTTCAAAATATAAATGTTTAAGTCTAAAACTATAAAATTTATAACATCCAAAACATTACTTTTATTTCGATCACATTGTTTTCCTCATATTTTTTTTAAAAAAATTCAACAATGAAATTTTTTTTTTTATAAATTAATATCATTATAAATTAATAAAATATCATGGTCCCAATATTAATAAATTAATACGACGTCGTCTTTTTATACACCATAACCCAAAATAGGAGTTACTGGGCTGGGCCGATTAATGAAACTAACAATCGGGAGAATTATTAGTACATTTGATTACTTTATTGCCTCCTGAAGAGAAAAATTCAACGTCGTCATTTCTCTTCCCGGCGTCGCCATCTCTATCTAATTTAGTCCTGCATCGACCTGATTAGAACTGTCAATTGGTCATCCGACCATGGGCTAAGCCCAGTCCAAAATATTATAGACGGTCCGTGGTCAGCCCATAAATAAAAGAAAAATATCAATGGATATGCTCACACAACAGTTTTGGATTCCGGCGGAGTCTATGGTTCAATTTTCGGTTCAATTGTGGTGTCATTCAAGTAACAAAAGCAAGATATCATGTGAGTTTGGAGGTTCATAATCCAGCGAACTGTCAGTGGTCATTATAGGACAAAATTTGATGATTAAAGTTTTTTTGGCAAAGTTGGAAGAGGAGATCAGGAAATATGGTGAAGGGTGTCTCGGACTTCGTCCCAGAGAGATAACGTACCCGTTAACCCATAAAACTTTGTTTAGACCGTAAACAATTTGGTTAATCTATTAAACGATCTTTTAGTAATCATTTATTAAGTTTGTATCTTTATGTTTTCTTGTTTAGTAATGTATTAACATGGTACAAAAAATATGTAATTCGCTACAAAAAACTTTATCTTTTTGATAAATTTTGTATCTTGTTAATATTTTATATAACACGTTTATAATTTTTGTATTGTGTTAAATGTTAATTTTTCGACATACAATTTACTTTCCATGTTAAATAAATAAATAAATATCTAAATTAATACATAATCATTTGTTAGGTATCTCATCGGTGTCCTAATTTATCAATATATAATACTATTTAATGTATTAACAGATTAATATTAATATTATTTGATGTATTCAATATCTTAACACGTTACAAGTATGTGTAGTGCGTTATCATTATTGTTATCGTTACCATTCTATGTAATTTGTTTATAATATTTTTATCATGTAATTAATTAAGCTTTTTTAAAAATATATATTAATTCACAATTCTAAATTAATATAAAATATTAATTTTGTATGATATGATAACTCGTTTAACATGATAACTATGAATGTAACACATATTATATGAACTTATCACGATAATATATCATTTAACATGTAAATAAAATAACTGTTCACATAGATGAGCAATGTCGTTATGTGGTTGATAAATATTATCCGGTGGTGAACAGTGTCGACGTCAGAATGAACAGTGTCATAGATATATTGAAGTAGGAAAACAAATTTTTTAATCAATGGCATTTTTGTTATTAATCATAGGTAGAAGGAGAAACTTGGTTTATTTTTTCTTTCTCTTTCATAATTACTTAATTACAATATTATCATACATAAATACTTAATTTTTGGATCGTATGGGCATATCAATTAATATAGTCCTAAATAAAATGGATCATCTGGTCTAAAGACCAATTTTGTCCATGGACATAATGGGCTAGCCCATACAGACAATTGGTTGGCCCAGTTTCATTAAAAATTAGGGTTATTCAATTTTGGGGAAAAATTAAATCTCTTTTTGTCTCCTCTCTCTTACGGCTTCAGAATCGCCATCGGAATGTGGTAAACTCGATCATCGGGACTTGTTACGAACCGGAGCATCATCGGAAGGTTGGACTCATCATCACGGCTTGTGGGTTTGTCCATATTTCACTCGTTTTGTTCTTAGTGTAATGAATTGAGAATTACGTTTTCTGGGTTTTGTGTTCTCTGGGTTTTGTGTTCTCTGGGTTTCTACGTTTTCTGAAACAATCTCTTCAGACTTGTGTTCTCTGGGTTTCAATGTTTGGGTCGCTCGTTGTTTAGCTGGTTTTGAAAATTTATCTTGGATCTGGAAAATGGCTATTTTGTGTTCTCCGGTGTTGTAAGTTTTTCATACTCTATTTTGTTGGTGAAATGGGTTTTGTTTGTCTTCAGATTTCTTGAGTTTTAAACATAATTAGTGAAGAATTTGAGATTTGTCTAGTTTTCTGTTTGAATTACTTTGTTGTAATACATTCATGGGAAAAGATTGATTTGCTTAGTTGTTTTCAATTAGTTTTTTCTTGTGTGTATCTTTAACTATATCAATTGTCTATTATGTTAAAATCTGAACTCTTTTTATTACCTCTGGATTTAGTGTTTAGGATTTTGAAGTACTTTTGAGTGAGTTTGAGTCTGATCTTGTGTTAGACAAATGTGGCTTAATTTATGTAATGCTTCATGATTGTGAGTCAATCTATAGTTTTCGATTTTGGTTTTGTATTTTCTGCTTAGTTGTTTTCAATCCACCAGAAGATCATCAAATGAATCTGAATTTATCTTCTTCTCTTAGCATCATTTTTACTCACTCTTGACACTTAGTGCGACTTTACATTGCTATATATGCAGATTATCATTCCCTGTTCAGTGTTTAGTGAATTGTTTAGTATATGCCTTGAGAATGCTGACACCAACGGACTTGTAATTTCATAGTGTCAGTGCTGCACTGTTTTAAGGGTTTGCTGTGTAGTCTTGTTCATGATTTTGTGTGATTAAATTGTGTGACTAAAGAATTTGAGTTTGCTTTACTTCTGTTCCGGCTACCACGCAGCTCCAGGTTAGTTTCGATATAAGTCGAAATAACAAATCGGTGCGTTGTGCTTTGTATGGAATTGAATTCTGGATCTAGATTGAAAATTTCTAGGGTTTAGGAAACGATATTTAGGTCATACGAATCTATTGTTTGTAGAAGAGAAGGAACATAACAAATGGAAGATGTTCCAGATCATTTGTTTTTTTGTTTGAATGATGTTCGGATTTATATTTTTGAAACTTTGAATTATGCAAAGTTGGGTGATGCTTGGTTAGTGAATTCTTCAATCTGTATTTTGCTAGAAAGTTTATCGTACTGCAACAAATTGAATGATTCAATCAGAGAATGTGTGATTACTCCTTGCAGCCCTTTGCTTTGTGGCTTATTCAAAGATGACAACAATCGAAACCGGTCAGAAAACTCAACAGTCTTCTCCTTCCGGTTCTGCTGCTGCGGCTACTGGTACTCTCAAGCAGTCTTCGGCATCGTTTAAAAGGTGGGGAAGGAGACACCCATTTGTACGATATGGACTTCCGATGATATCTCTCACTGTTTTTGGAGCCCTCGGCCTCGGCCAACTCCTTCAAGGCAGGTCAGTTTTTTCTTGATTAAACTGAGCTCTGAATCTATAAATTCCTGGGGTTATATCAATGAATCTGTTTAGAATTCTCAACTTCACCACATATGTTTTTTTTTGGTTAGTTCAGTAAGGATATTGCAAAGGTAAAAGATGACCAAGAATGGGAAATTATAGAAACAAGAAAGGCGCTTTCGAGAACAGGACCTGTTGATGCTTATAAACCTAAAAACACATCCATCGAAGATGAGCTTAAGGTAACGAAGAATATATCCTCAATTTTTCAGGTCTCATGTTTTAATGATTAGACTGCAGAAAAGCTTTGATGAAAAACTAAGATCTTGACCGGGTTTTGTTTACCGCAGGCTATGCAACAGAAGGTGGACATAAATACGTACGAGTACAAGAAAATTCCAAAGCTAAACGAAAGCAAGTCGAGTTAAGTGAAGTCTTTTAAGAATCATCTTTGTATAACAATTATCTTTTCTTAGATGTGTTTCAGTTTTAAATTACTATTCACATAAACGCCCAAGTACATATCCCAGCAAGTTTTGGGCTTCCTAAACCAAGAACAAAGAGGGCCACTTTATAATTAGAGCATCTCCAATAGGGGTTGTTTAAAGGGGTTCGTAGCATGAATAACATTAAAATTAAATAATTAATAGGGTATATTCACAAAAACCGGTTCTTATTTAAGAACCTTAGACCACCTCCAAAGGTAAGAACCTTTCATGGGTTCTTACCATTTGTTTAATATAAGTTTGGGTTTTTACCATTTGTTTAATATAAATTTTGAAAAATTTAAAGTTAAGAACTTGTGTAAAGGTTTTTAAATTTGTCATTGTTTGATAGTAGAACCTTAAGTGGGATTCTTAAAAAATAAATTATTTTAAAAATTATAATATTTAAGTAGAATTAAATTTGTTTAAATTTATAAACATTTTATATTTTATAAAACTTAAAAATTATTGCATTTCATAAAATCTTAAACATACATTACATAAAATCTTAAACTTAAAAATAAATGTGCAAAACAAAAACCGGAATAACGATTAGTTTTAATTTTGTTTTGTACCAAATTTTTGTCATATATGTTCAACTAAATCAGCTTTCAATTGTTGATGCATTGTTTGATCACGCACTCGATTTTGAATGCCCATCATATTTTCGAGATTTGAAGGCATATCTGTAGAATACGTCAAATCCACTTGTGAAGTTTTGTTTGCTTCCGCTTGTGCGAATTTTGATACATCAAACTAAGTGTACCCATCTCGTTCATCTTCTACTATCATTTTGTGAAGTATTATACATGCTTGCATAATATTTCTTATTTTTACCTTATCCCAAATAAGAGCTGGATTTTTTACAATGGCAAATCGAGTTTGCAAGACTCCAAAAGCACGTTCGACCTCTTTACGGACAGCTTCTTGATATGTAGCAGATAAAGATGCTTTCGGACCTTGTGGAATTTGAATAGATTGGATAAATGTTGCCCATTTAGGATAAATTCCATCAGTGAGATAGTAAGCCAAATGATACTCGTGTCCGTTGACAAAGTAATTCACTTTTGGAGCTCGACCTTGTAATATATCATTAAAAACTGGTGAGCGATCAAAAATATTGATATCGTTTAAGGTACCTGGAGGTCCAAAAAACGCGTGTCATATCCAAAGATCTTGGGAAGATACAATCTCTAAAACAATTGTTGGTTTTCCAGATCCACGTGTATATTGTCCTTTCCAAGCGGTGGAGCAATTCTTCCACTTCCAATGCATACAATCGATGCTTCCTATCATCCCGGAAAATTTGCGTAGCTTTTCAATATCGAGTAGTTGTTGAAGATCTTCTGGAGTGGGTCTTCTTAGGTACTCATCTCCAAACACATATGATTCCTTTAAAAAAATGTTTCAAGCATGAAATCACAAAGCTTCACCAACACGGATGTATTCGTAAACCGCATCATCCGCACAACCATATGTCATCATATGAATTGCTGTTGTAGACTTATGTAGTCTAGAGAGACTGTACCTCCCGGTAGCATCCCTTCTTTGTTCAAAGAATAGAATTTCATTGGAGAGTCGATCAACAATCCGCATGAACAAAGGCTTGTTCATTCTAAAACGGCGTCAAAATATATAAGGAGAGTATGTTGCATTTTCTATGAAATAATCGTTCCCTAAGCGGATGAGTCCTTGTTCACAATCTCTTTCAATATATGCTCGTTTTTTCTTTGATTTGGTTGCTTCTTGACGATTAGCATGATCAATGAAATGATTCTCGAATGCTTGATCAAAATTTTCATCCAACGTTTCATCGATATTAAAAGAGATTATATTGTTTCGTTGATCATGGTGATCGTCAAGAAGCAACCAAGTCAAAGAAAAAATGAGCTTATATTGAAAGAGATCGTGAACAAGTACACTTTCGCTTATGGAATGATTATTTCAGAGAATATGCAACATACTCTCCTTATATATTTCGGTGCCGTTTTAGAAGGAACAAACCCTTGTTCATGCGGAGTGTTGAACAATGAAGTTTTATTATTTGAACAAAGAAGAGATGCTACCGGAAACTTTGGTCTCTCTGTATTATAGAAGTCTACAGCAGCAATTCGTATGTTGGCATATGGTTGTTGACGAATACTTCTGGGTTGGTGAAAGCACTGCGATTTTATGCTTGGAACATTTTGTTCAAGGAATCATATATTTGTTTGGAGATAAGTACCTAAGAAGATATACACCAGAAGATTTTCAACAACTACTCGATATTGGAAAGCCATGCGAATTTTTCGGGATGGCAGAAGCATCGATTGTATGCATTGGGAGTGGAAGAATTTCCCACCGCTTGAAAAGGACCATATATACGTGGATCTAGAAAACTAACAATCGTTTTAGAGGTTGTAGCTTCACAAGATCTTTGGATATGACACGCGCTTTTTGGACCTCCAGGTACTTTAAACGATATCAATATTCTTGATCGCTCACCAGTTTTTGATGATATATTACAAGGTCGAGCTCCAAAAGAGAATTACTTTGTCAACGGGGACGAGTATCATTTGGCCTACTATTCCACTGATGGAATCTATACTATTAATTGGGAAGCATTGGGTAATAAATAACCTTATAAAGTGTAAAGAATTACAAAGAAATGTCATTACAAATTTTTGATTCTACAACTAAATAAAAGAAATCGTAGAGGGGTGAAATTGAGAATTTGCTTGACACTTACACGCGGATCTCGGGTCTAAGGGTCGGACCTATATCCAACCATAGTCGGTAAAGCATGCGGGTCCTGCGTATTGTGAATTTGTATCCGTAATAATCATATTGGGCTTCACCTATTAGGGCCTTTATGATGCTCTCGAATTTAGGATTGAGATCTACAGTAATTCAAGTATGAATAAATTAAATTCAATACTTTCAAATATATTTCCATAACAAGCAAAGCTATAAATTCGAACTAAAATAATATCACTTCACCGATATTTCTATAACAACCCAATCCCGTATATTTCGATTATTAAAACAAAACTTATTTCTTTATATTCGATTTCATTTATTATTTTTACCAAAAATAACAAAATTTCTTTAAATTTCATTTAAATTCGCATTCAGTTATTAGTTTTACCAAAAAAAAAATCTATATAAATATATCAGAATAAATCAAGTATATACCTTAATTATTCTTATTCGAAAATATGGCAGTAGTTAAAGTTTGAATAAATTAGATTCAATAGTTTCAAAGATAATACCATAACAAGCAAAGCTATAAATTCGATTAAAAAAAAAACAGATCACTTCACCGATATTTCTATACCAATCCAATCCCATATATTTTCTAATATTAGATTTCATTTATTAGTTTTTACCAAAAATAACAAAATCTCTTTATTCTGTATTCAGTTATTAGTTTTACCAAAAAAAATCAAAATCGCGAATCAAGCATATACCTTAACTATTTTTATTCGAAAATATTCTCTTTGGCGGTAGTTATCTAAACCCTAATAAAATGCTAGCCGACTTTGGATTAGTATAAATATAGGATAAAGAATGCCATTGAAGTTATACATTCACCTTTTAAAGCAATCAGCTATTCTCTTCCCGTTCCTTCCAAGAAAATGGCGGCTGCACCACTAGCATTCACCGATCTTGCTAACATCAAGCCTTTCAAAACACAATGGAGCATCCAAGTTAAAATTGTGCATTATTGGACTCAATATACGACATACACAGGGGAAACAATATAAATGTTTCTTGCTGATACATCTGTAAGTAAATATCCCATTTTCAGTTAGGTGAAATCGTTGAGTAAACATCAATGTCATCCTATTATTAACACGAGTGTTTTTTACTCATATACAAGGTACTTTGATCCATGCCAATATTAAGAAACAACAAGTGAACAAGCTTCAGAGGTTTATCGTTTCTGGAGAGTGGCGTATTGTCGAGAATTTTACACTTGCCAAATCAATAGAAAAATACCGTTTTGATGTCAAATTTATAGTATAACCGCATAAAGAAACGATGAATGTGGTGTTCAAGAAAGTTTTTCGGAACCTATAAGACTAAGGGTTGCAAGAGACATTTGTTCTAAGAGGTAACAACCAATAAGAAATGATTCAGATCGTTCTCTGTTATACTATAATAATTTCTTCTTCTTTTATATTTTTTTTTCTGTGAACAGGTACAAGCTGGTATGAAAACGTGCCTTTGGCAAGTAAAGGAGTTACTGAAATCAGTTTTCAAAGAAGAAATGAAGTGTTTAGAATCGCCATTGAGTTATTTCCATTTTCCTTTTCAGACAATCTTAAACATTAAAAACAAAACACCTTAACTTTGTTTTCCAAAAGTTAATTGTGTTTGTAACTTTATATTAGGCAATTGGCAGTTAATGTGTTCATATACATAATCAGTAGCCCAGTTAAAGTATTATCAAACCATAACACAAGTTAATGGATGGCCACTCTAATATTCGTAAATCAATCAAACAAACAATGCCAAAAAATTGATTTCTACAACAATTTTACAAAATCTAAATTTATAACCGCAGCTATCCTAACTACCAATTAAAAAAAAATAGAGAGTAGTTTTCATTTCACTAACCTTTAACATTATATAGGGCTGTGCTAACTTCTCCACAGCCAAAATCAATAGAAGCCTCCTCCATGTGAATGTAACGCCGAGATTATGCTTGCCTGTATACATTATACATTTCCAAACTCAAATTTAATAAAATCATTTAACATACAATGAAAAAAACGTCAAGCCTAAACCTTTCTCTCAAAATAAAATGCTTAAACAGTAGCTAACATGTTCTTCAAATAAATAAAGTGTTATCATTAAAATATCACTAACCGTTAATATTGCCCCAGGATTCTAAATAGCTCAGAAGATGACATTGAAATTCCATTCTTCAAAAGAATTTAACTCTAACAGTAGCTAACATGTTCTTATCGACTAAACAAAAGTGTAAACTGAATCATTTTACTAACCTTTAATATTGCTTCAGTATTTTGAATAGCTCAAAAGATGACATTGAACCTCTCTTCTTCATAATAAGTAAATCTGACATGAATATTGGCATGTATACATTGAACTTTCTATCATCAGGACCACATATTTATTAATAACTATTGTTTTCTGATAATTGCAACATAAACCTTATCTTCTTTAGAATCATCTTCTTTTGGCAACATCGTCGGGCAAACCATTATCTGAAATATATATAGAAAAAATTGCAATTAGAAGACATATCATGACACAAAATCAACTGTTAATATCTATAGACAATCGAATTTCTAAAAATCTTAAATCGGAAAACAGACGATTTATGTAAAGAGATTGGTTTACTAGCTAACACACTCAAATTAACGATCCCACAACTGACGATTTATGTAAAGAGATTCAGATTTCTGTATTCTATATGTAACGATTTGGGTTCTTGACATTTATTGTCCAAGAACTCAGTTCAAACAGAAAATTTCAAAGATTCCAAATCGAATTGACAAATTTTTTTAAAAAATATGTCACAAAAAACACAATCAAATGCAGAGCTTACCTCTTTTATGAATTTGACATGAAAAGAGGTAAACGGAGACGTAATAGATCGATTATTAGACAATTTTGGGATTGATTCTTAGAAAGAACAATCACCTGAGATTTGTAGGATGTTGTTTTTTATCACCGATAAGAAAAAAATTGTTTTTTCTTTTGCAATTATCTGTCCGTAACGAAAAAAAAAATGAGTCATATATTTATCTCTATATTTAATCCAAACAAACAAACGAATAAATGGATCCGTTGCAATAGTATTATGATTAGGGTCTATATATATTTCGGCCCACTATATTAAAATTTGGGTTTAGCGTTTCTCTTTTAATAATTTTCATTGGATCCTTTTTTTTGATAAACCCTATCGGCTATCCGGTTAGCCCCGGTAGGAACGCACCGAGGTGCTACATAGTGGACTGGTCCACCGTGTTAACGGTTAGGCCCTTACGGGCTACCACTCTGCCTATCCCGAGTTTGGAATGCCTTCCGACTAAGTGCCAGGGGATAGTCAGGCCGCCTGCATTTCTGGCTACCAGGTAAACCAATTAGTTGTAAAAATTAATAATAACCATTGGATAAAGTTATAAACAATAATTTAGTATTACCAAATAAATTTTTTTACATTTTATTAAAATCTACATTATTCTATAAAAATCATAATCAATATTATAACTAAAACATACCAATTCTGCAACTGCCCAAATTATTTATATATTATTTACCAAAACCAAACAAAACTATGCAATCATTTAACAATAAAAACTTACTTATTTTTAACTTATATTTCATTCTAAATGTATAACTAATCAAACATAAAACAAATTTGTGTACCAAATCTTATTAAAAACACAGAATATAATTTGGGAAAATTAGATATAAAGGATAAATAATTAAATTATTGTCCATCTATGCATTCTATATTTATAATTGATCATATATGTTTTAATATTGGTCATATATGCTTTAATATAATTAAAATCCCATTTTGTCCCTAGTTTCTTTAAATCTTGCTAAACTATAAAAAAAATTCCAAAATTAATTAGATTTCTTTCTAAAAGCAGTTGGAAAAATATAGGGCAAAAACAATATTTATTTACTTTCCAAATTTTTTGCCTAGATAATTCCAAATCTTTTTTTTGTTTGATTTTTTTTTTTGGTAACATCTTCTTCGATTCTTTTGACGTCAAATTCTTCGATTTTATCTTTTGGTAGTTTTTTGGATTTTTTCAATTCTTTGGAGCTTGTATATATATGTAAAATTCTAGATTTCTTTGCATGTGTTGGATTATTGTAGACGTAAAATTTGTAGACATAATACATTTTTTAAAATTTGTAGACGTAAGATTTCTAAAGTAATTAGAATACATGTTCTAATTTGTAGACATAATCTTAACCTTAATATTCAATTTTATCATATTTAATATTAAAATATTCAATTTCTTTATTTAAAGATTTAGTTTCCTTTTTAAAAAAAAGAAATTCTAAATTATATAGAATTTGTTTTCTATTTTTTGTAGAATAAAAAAAAAATATAAGAATGTGTTTTCTAACAATTTTAGAACATGGGTAAATTTTAGAAATGATGTTCTAGTTTTTCTAGAAAAAATAGCAAAGTATAGAATATGTATTCTAAATTTCGTAGAAATTAGCTATCTAAATACCGTAGAACAGAAATATGTTCTAAATTTCGTAGAACATGTAAAGTGCATAGAATACATTATCTAAATTTAATAGAACATAAGCAATGTGTAGAATACACATTCTAAATTCAGAATGTGTATTCTAAACTTCGTAGATCATATTTTATTTATCCAAAACTGTAACAAAAACGATATATTTTCGACATTATAAGAATCTTCATGACTTCTTTTTCATTTGCCTACAAATTGTTCTAAAATTTATTTGAAAAACTAGTTAAACCAACTACAAAGGGTAAATTAGGAATATGTGGTATTTAGTCATAGAATGCATTGATGGACAATAGGTTAATTATTTATCCTTTATATCCAATTTTCCCATATAATTTTGTAATAAATTTCTAATATTATGGTATATATTCATTATCTAATTCCCAAAAAAACAAAAACAAAATAGTTTCTTAAAAACTACTGAAAAACAAACAAATTGATTATATATTTTATAGAACACATTTTTTAAAATATAAAATCCCGCACGTATGTGCGGGTCATGATCTAGTTTATCATAAATGGGCAACATTTATCTAATCTATTCCAATTCGACAAGATCCGAAAGCATCTTTATATGATACATATCAAGAAGTTGTTCGTAAAGATGTCGAGCGTGCTTTTGGAGTCTTACAAACTTGATTTGCCATTGTTAAAAATCCAGCTCTTATTTGGGATAAGGTAAAAATAAGAAAGATTATGCGAGCATGTATAATACTTCACAAAATGATAATAGAAGACAAACGAGATGGGTACACTCAGTTTAATGTATCAGAATTCGCACAAGCGGAAACAAACATAACTTCACAAGTGGATTTTACGTGTTCTACAGATATGTCTTCAAATCTTGGAAATATGATGGGCATTCGAAATCGAGTTAGTTATCGAGCAATACATCAACAATTGAAAGCTGATTTGGTTGACTATATATTACAAAACTTTGGCACAAATCAAGATTACAACTAATCGTTATTCCGATTTTTGATGTACACATCTATTTTTTATATGGTTTTATGTCATGTATGTTTAAAATTTTATGAAATGCAACAATTTTGAAGTTTAATAAAATATAAAATTGTTTATAATTTTTTTTTAATAATTCTATTTAAAATATTATCATTTAAAATAATCAGTTTTCTTAAAATCTCCACTTCGAGTTCTACTATTGGACGATGACAAATTTAAGAACTCTTACAAAACTTCTTAACTTTAAATTTTTGAAATTTATATTAAAATAATGAAGAGTTCGTACCTTTAGAAGTGGTTTTAACCAAAGAACCGGGTCTTTAAAATCCAATTTTTGATAATAGATGTTGTCATGTTAATTTACGACGTCCAAACCTTTAGATCTGAAAGAGATTTTATATCCGGTTAGACTTTACATTTTTATAACATTTTATGCACAACTTTATTTTCTAGTAAATTTCTCACCCAACAATGGTGCATGAGGAGCAGTGCCCGTATGGTAAAATACGGGACCAGCTACAAAAAAAAATTGAGGCCTTTTGAAAAAATAAAAATTGCTACTTTTATTATTTTTTTGCTAATTATTGGACATTCATAATTTTTATTTATTAATTTTTCTTAATTTTTAGACATTTTTGTTAATTATAAGATTTTTTACTAATTATGGAATATTTTTTTTTGTTAATTATGTGGCATTTTTGCTAATTTTGAAAAAAAATTACTAATTTTGAGGCTTAAAAAAAAATATATATTCTCAGCAAACTTGACTTTAAAAATATGAGGCCCAATACAAATGTTTCATAGAAATTGGTAAAGGGCCGGGTCTGACGAGGAGATCCCTCAATATCGTATATTGTGTCGTTGTAAAACAAATCTTGCCCTCTTTTTGATTCAATGACTCGGCCTCTTAATCTACTGTCAACTCTCCTAATGCGCGTTTATATTTCACTTCTCAAATGACTGGTTCGGACTCAACACTGACCATTTCACCCATGACTCTTGTCGTTGGATCCAGATAATGCATAACGTTCTTTGCTCTCTCAACGTTCAGTCGCCTCCAATTCTATTACATTTTCTTCCTTTCTCATACACCTAACATTAAACATCATAGCATCTTTTCAAAAAGTTATACACAACACAAATCCAATACATAAATTTGAAATAACTTAACTAGATATATAAAATATATATATAGCTCAAAACGAAAGCATTAGATGTCTATTGTAAATTTTTTTCAATTTTATACAACAAAACCACCTCTAATTGTTGTAAGAGAAAGATCCTCAAATTCAAGTATACAAACATCTCATTCAATTAGTCAAATGGATCACCTCCAAATCTCATATACGATGCAGGTCAAACAAGCGGATGAACTTGAAAACATACTAACCAAAAAGTTCCTTAGATTTTTGTCAACGAGCCCAGAAGCTTTTCAAGTACCGAGGAGGAAACCAGTGCAGGTACCGTAGACCTTATTCTTGATTCAAATTAGCTACTTGTGAGTGCTACTATGTCTTTTTTGGCAGTTGTAAATGCATTCCCGCTTCATGTTAGCGTTCTAGATAGACACTTTAAAATTCATTTCATGTCTTTTTTCCCTTTTATAAATCATGAATCATTTCACTGAGCGGAAAATGCATGTCTTGGCTTTAGATGATTTTTACTGTTTATTCCATGCATTGTGTGAATGACTCATTCCCTGACCCCCCTTCAATTGGTTTCTTCTTGGTATTTTGAACAGGGCTATGACATTAGCTTTCTTATAACAAACTATGTACCACTGCGAAGAGATGCAGAAACAGAAGCTAATCGATTTCATTATTCAGTTTATGGAAGCAAGTCTTTCTCTAAACCCAATCTTTGTGATTCTATGACCTTGGTTGTGAAAAAGCAGAGATAGATAAGGCACACGAGAATTAACGAGGTTCGGCAACGTGCCTACGTCCTCAAAACAATAACTAGATTCACTTAGACAATCTTTACAACAAGACCTTGCCTAACTGGAATTACACGACACTAAGAACCTCTTAGTTCGACACCAAACAATATCTAGTTACACCCAGTATTAGAACAACTAAACCCGTGTTCCAGCAAGCAGCTCGACTTGCCTACAAAAGCACCGAAACAGAGCAATTCATTTTTCTCTCTCTCTTTTCGGCTAGCCCTAGCAACACACATCTCCCTAGTATATATACCCATATACCTATGAGATATGTCACCCTAGATTTTATCCCGATACAAAAGGAAAATATCCTCTTCTAAATAAAAGAAACAAATCTTCAATAATATTCTTCTCCAAGAATATCTTCAATTGCACGTTTCTTCTGATTTGATCTCTCTAAATATCTTTCTGATATTTATCTTCAACTCCACGAGCCACGTCAGCACCAACCAAGCAATCCCAAACTTGTTCCAACAGACCGTTTCTTGTTCCAGCAAGATCTGCACTTTCATTCTCCCCCTTTTTAACTGAGTTTTACAACTCAAGCTCACCATAATTATCACGCATCCCCAGCAAGACATCATGATATACAAACTCCCCCTTAATCATATATCACTGTGATAATTAACTCTCCATGGATCTTCTACTCTCCATGGATCTTCTACATTCTCCCCCTGCTTGAGTGATAAAACTTTGTTAAAAAATACTTGCTGGAATATTCTCCTCGATCAGAATCGTCTTCCACTTGGATCTCTCCAATAACTCTCATTTCTAAATCTGAACTTTTTCTTCGCAAACTTTGCTTGATCATTTGACATGTGCTTCAAACACCTACATGTGCAGCACATCATCTTCCTTGGAGTATTGGTTGATGACTTATGAGACACATCACCATACAAATCCATCTTCTTAATCCAAACCTTTTGAAATCTCCTTGAATCTTGAACAAACTTCTTTTGCTTTAATGCACATCTAATCTTGTCAAGGAACTTATAGCAGTAGGCCTTGATATGCCCTTTCTTTCCACAATAAAAGCATCCTGAAGTACAAAACACTTTTTGGTGACTCTTCTGGGTTTCAGTTCCAACAGAATTCAGCTTGTTCCAGCTAACAACACATGTTCTTAAATTTGATGAACTTTTGTTGCATCCACGAACATAACTCATCTTCTTCTCATCAGAAATACATGGACTGGTACTTTTGACTTGTACATTATGCTCATCCATCGGAGTTATGATGAGACTTTTTGCGGTCGTCTCCAACAGGTTTTCCCTTGTTCCAGCAGATTTCGACAGATTCTCTTGAACAAAAATAGTCTTTGAATCAGATGTACCTCCTTGATAACCAAGACCAAATCTTGTTTTCTCTGTTCTTCCCATGCTTAGTATTTGATCTAGGTTCTTTGTTCCATTATTCAACATCCTCAAGTACTTTTCATTCTGCATGAGTTCATCCTCCAACCGTTTAGATTTTTCTTTTTCTGCTGCAAGTTCCTCCTTCACGTTTAGCATATGAACAACTTCATGATCTTCATTCTTCAAAGCACAAGAACACTTTTGATTTTCAGCAAGCTTGATTTTCAATTTCTCTGATTCTTCTTTCTCAAGAGTTAGCTCTTTCTCGATATTCTTTATCTTACTTTCCATCAACATCTTCTCATCGATTAGTACCATGTAGTCTTTACTTTTCTTAACCCAACTCTCATAAAGACTTTTGAATTCAGCTTGAAGATCCACCTCTTGATCGCTTTCTAAATCGATGCTTGTGTTGGAGTATTCGCTACTTGTTTCAGCAGTTGATATAGAATCAGATATTTCGCTTCCTTCTTTGTGCTCCACGAATGAAGGTAATGCCACGAAGTTGGCTAACTCCTCTTCATCATCTGTTTCACTCTCACTAGAGTCTTCATAGATATTTCTTTTTATCTTCACACCGTCGACACACTCAGATTTTGTATGTCCATAACCGTTACATCCTAAGCAACGAACCTTTTTCTTCTTCTTGATACTCGGACATGCAGACTTGATGTGTCCAAATCCTCTACATTCATGGCACTGTATACCACGTCTTCCTTCTCCCACATTTTTGTATGTGCCATGATCATTTTCCAAAGAGTTCTTACCCCTTTTTCCAACGTCTTTAAGAAGTTTCCCAAACATCTTCACAAGTGAGCTCATAGATTCTTCTAAATTTTGTATTCTCAACTTGTCATCATTCTCATATAGAGTTGGTCTATTGACACTATTTGAAATGACATCCTGTTGGTCCATCTCATACGCTTGTAGTCTCCCAACTATTTCATCAAATGGGGTCTCATCCGTGTTAAAAGCAGTTTCCATAGCCGCCTTTTGTGCCTCGAATCTCTTAGGCAAACATCGCAGCAACTTCTTGACAAGCTTCTTGTCTTTGTACGTCTTCCCAATCACATGTGCTTCATTAGCAATCGCACACAGCTTAGCACTAAAATCTGTAACATTTTCGTGCTCATCCATTCGTAGATTCTCAAATTGAGAAGCTAGCCTGTCAATTCTTGATATCTTCACACTTTTTGTTCCTTCAAAAACTTTTTCTAGCTTATCCCACGCTTCTTTGGCTGATTCACACCCTTGAATCAACTTGAATTGATTCTTGTTAACCGAGGTAAAAATAGTAGATAAAGCTTTTGCATTATACCTTGACATAGTCTTCTCATTCTTTGTCCATTTAGCCTTTGGTTTAGTGACAATAGAACCGTCTCTTTCTTCAATTTTTGGGACTTCATAGCCATCTTCCACAGCTGTCCAAGCGTCCTCATCAATACCTTGTATGATTGCCTTCATATTCACCTTCCAATATCCATAGTTTTCAGCATCTAACGCAAGACTTTTAACTGCCAACCATTCTCGAAATATTTCATCCATCTCTTTCCTCAGGATCCTCACCCGTTTGTGGAGTCAGACTCTTTACAGATGTCCGCTCTGATACCAATTGAAAAAGCAGAGATAGATAAGGCACACGAGAATTAACGAGGTTCGGCAACGTGCCTACGTCTTCAAAACAATAACTAGATTCACTTAGACAATCTTTACAACAAGACCTTACCTAACTGGAATTACACGACACTAAGAACCTCTTAGTTCGACACCAAACAATATCTAGTTACACCCAGTATTAGAACAACTAAACCCGTGTTCCAGCAAGCAGCTCGACTTGCCTACAAAAGCACCGAAACAGAGCAATTCATTTTTCTCTCTCTCTTTTCGGCTAGCCCTAGCAACACACATCTCCCTAGTATATATACCCATATACCTATGAGATATGTCACCCTAGATTTTATCCCGATACAAAAGGAAAATATCCTCTTCTAAATAAAAGAAACAAATCTTCAATAATATTCTTCTCCAAGAATATCTTTAATTGCACGTTTCTTCTGATTTGATCTCTCTAAATATCTTTCTGATATTTATCTTCAACTCCACGAGCCACGTCAGCACCAACCAAGCAATCCCAAACTTGTTCCAACAGACCGTTTCTTGTTCCAGCAAGATCTGCACTTTCAGGTTGCATGCAATAGTAGCATCCTAATAATCAAAATATGTATTGAGTAGACTTGCATCGTTTTGTTTTCTCAGAGTAATAACTTGAGAAGTGGTATATTCTGCATTTAATAGCTTGCCATAGTGACACTTGAAGCATCTATATATATATTTTAAGTTCTCAAGAATAACGTGGGAAATAAATAAATAAGGATAGTTTGAACTGATCTACTAGTAAATATATAAATATAGGGCATGTGACAGTGAGAGATAGACAAATTGTGAACCGTATTTAAAACAACAAAATAATTTCCAAGTTTGAAAATCTTTGAGTGCTACTAATCCATGGCGATCTCTTACGGCCATCTTCTTCTTCTCCTCATCCTATCTTTCTTCTGGTTGCCTAATTTGCTGGCCATCCCTTTCAGCGACTGTGGTTAGCTACCAACTCTCTTCTTTGTCTTGTTTTTCTTTAAAGAAACTTTCCTCTCTTCTTTTCTTGTTACATTGTTCTTGAGTTAAACATTACTCATTTACTTATACTCTTCACTCGAATATCTTATGGCCTTAATCTTTTTGGTTTGGCCATTTTAGGTGATGGAAGTTCTCCTGTTGAAGTCACTAGTGTGGATATACGTGAAGATAAGGGCATGGCAAGCTTTCAGATATCCGGTTCTACAAGTACCTAAGTCCTAACTGATTCCCATTGACCAATCTTCTTCATTTTCATCCAAGTTTTCACTGCTAGTTTGGTTTCCTATTTATTTTTCTTGGTAAAATCTTTTGTGTAAGCAGGTAAAAGTATCAGTAAAGGGTTCATGAGTGTGAAAGCTAGAGTAGGCGTGGTTCTTATCTTATGGAAAATGTACGACCTCTGTGAATATAACATGTTTCCTTTGCATTCACCGGTAAGTTTTTGTAGTACTTTTTGATGATTCCTTTTTTTTGTTTCATTGATAAATTACTTTTGCAAGTGAAACTCAAAGTTTCTGTAAACATTTTTGAGGAGATTGATGATTATGAGGAGGAAATGATAATACTCCATAGACATCATTGCTTTGCTTGATTAACAAACATAATCAAAACCCAAAAGGATATAATAAATTTTTCCATTCGAAATGGAATAAACAAACCTCCCCTTAGTCTTTATCAACGAGTTTCATCGACAACCAATGACTTTGAGTTTTAAGAAGAGGATTATACTATCGTTCAGCCCTTTGCATATATGATCAGTGAGAACAATCATGTTTCCTCTTATCTTCTTTTGGAACCACGAGACTGGAGTAGCTCCATACTACAAAACACAAGAACCATGAGTTCATGTTATTGTATTTAATAATATAATGTATAAATACTTTCTTCTAGTGGTGTAATTATTAAACCATACATCTTTGTTTAGCTTGGATTCTCCGTTTTCTACTAGTGGAAGATCGCCGATTGTGTCTCTCACCGTGATTGAGTGGAAAGGCACCAAATTTAGTACTACGAACGGCAGCTTTTCACTTGTTCCACAAAACATATAGAAAATGTATAACAACAATTTAAAGATATACATGGCATGGAGGCCCTCCGTTGATGAAATCCACTTGACAAGGCAGTGGCAGAGTACTCTTCTGGTTCTCATCAAGTTTAGCTGCAAGTTCAGCTGCCTCCGTAGTAGAGATACAATCATCCACATCTCCACATTTCTCCATTATAGCCCTGTTATTAATAATCTCAACCAACTGATCCCAGCACAAGATATAACCTATAGGAAAGAGTAAATTGTATTTTTCTGTTGGCTATTTACCTAAGAATCACATTGCAGTTGTCAACAAAAACCGTCGCGTCAGGATGGTTTTGTTTAAAAGCTTGCCCAGCTGGCTCTTCATACTCGATCGCCCACTTTGTATCCGATACACCTTGTGTACATATAAACCATGCATATGAATACATGTTGTTCAAGCGTTTTGAAAGATAAAGTGTATTCGCAGGTGGCCGTATTACCCAAGAATCATATCAGTTGTCAACAAAAACCGTTGTTCCAGAGGATTCGTCGGAGGAGATTGGTGCAGAAGAAGAGGTTGAAAAGGTTGACGATGTTCAAGAGGTGGGAAAAATGAAGAAGAGGACACTATAAAAGAAGGTTCAAAAGGCTGATACTCTTAAGAAAATTGGAGGTAGTTGTGGGGAAATAGAAATTAGATGGGAAGGTGAGATTCTTGGAGAAACTTGTGCTGGTGACAAGTTTCTTCATGAATTTCACCATCCCATCTTATTTTCATTTCTCCAAACAACCTCGACTCTTCTTCAGAGTATCAACCTGTTGAACCTAAATAGCTTCTTGTATAGTGTCATTTTCTTCATTCTCATCCTCCTCAACATCTTCAACCTCTTCTTCTCCACCAATCTCTTCTGACGAATCATTTGGAGAATAAATGGAGTAAATCTCTGTCTATTTTATTTGACCAAATGAGTGTTTTCAACATCACCTCGAAGATATCGATGTAAAAAAATAAATATCATAAAACTTTCAATCCATCAAATCCTTGGAATCAACAAAAAGTTTAGAAAAATGACACAAGAAAACTTAGATTTAGTGAGAGTAGTGAAAAAAAAAGAGACAACCTGAGGCTTATAAATGGAGCTAAGACTTTTTTTTTTATAATAGAACAAAAAATGCTTGAAATTTGTTAACATTTAGGATTGGCAAAAATCTTGTGATACACTGTAAATTACAAATTTATTTAATGTGATGAGCTGTAATTTAGTTTTTTTTCAGTTTTTGGAGAATCTCCTAAATCTTATATTTCCATTAATTAATTAAAAAATAAAAATGATTCTAATTGAAGATTGAAAGAAACTTTGACCAATTTATATAGAAGATTTCCTTACCATTTTTAACAATGAGATTCTATCCTCCATAAACATAAAGTTGACCCATTTTGAATAGAAGATTTCCTTACCATTTTTAATAATGAGATTTTATCCCCCATAAACATAAAGTTGACCCATTTTGAAAAGAAAAGAAAAAAAACTTTCTCTTCTTTTTATTTATTTTATAAAACTAACATTTTAGAGCTGGCAGAAATGGTGTGATACATTGTACATAAGATTTTAATTGATGTTATGAGTTGTAATTTAGCTTTTGTGCAATACCCCATATAAATCTCATATTATTCAATAATTAATGAAAAATTATATTTAAATGTTTCGTCTAATTTTTGTTTACAATTTAATATTTTTATATGATTTATATGTATAATATCATATTTCTAATATTTTATGTTATAAATATCTAAACTGCCTAAATCTCTTAAAATCATCTCGACTCCAACTAAACGTTCTATGTACTAGGCAGTAGATCTCCGCATGTATAGTGTATAGCGGTTTCTTGAACATTGGTCATAAGTGGTAGTCATTTGTCAGAATGCATTCTCCATAACCAACTTGTTAAATATGTCTTAGACTACAAGTAATGTTGAAGCTTATCTCCAACATTAACAACACGGGAACTTAACTAATCTGATCATAAGCCTTGTGCAAAATTCCTAATATCTTCCATATGAGTTGACAAAGCAGAATGTTCACGTCGGTGGTGCTGTTGGTTAACTGAAGAGTCTCTAAGTCTCTGAAACAGATTTAAGGCATTAGGCATTACCACAAAACATAACACTTTAATACCCCAACTTGTTCACATGCATCATTGCCACCTTAAGGACTCTGTTTTTGTTTCAATTGGTGTGGACATCGGATTGATGGATGCCATTCCTCGGAGTACAAACTGAACATCCTTGTTGTAAAGCACCCATCTTATTCCTGCACATTCTTTTGGAAAACTCCATGATCCATCTACAAAACAAACATAAGTTTGTGATTTGTGAATAATATTTCGGAGTTCATGCCTTTTTTTTTTTTTTTTTTTTTTTTTCTTTGGAGTTCATGCCTTATATCCAACACTTGTTTAGATCTGTTACAATCTCTAACTTGATTTTCTGTTGGTTTCTCCTGATTAACTTTTAAGCTTCCTGTCCACTGTTGTTGTTGAAATATACATCATTTTTCATTTTCTGAATACGCCAAATCAATAAATTAGTCTTAGAGGTTTTCTAATTAAAACTATATCGAAAAACCAACGATTTTTTTATATTATGGTACGTATTCACAAAGTAGGAGCAAACTCCCGTACGTCGTTCTTCCAAAATGTTTTTTTTTTCTAAGGGCAATGGAAATGAGCTTATTTGTGCTTTCGAAGGAAACACATCAAAATCACAGACGAAGATTTAAATTATTTATGTAATCATGAATCTCTACATATATACATATATATATATATATACGGATGCCCTGTTCTTTAATTTCGAATTCCAAGAATCTGCATGCATTTCGAGTTTTATTAGACAGGACAATGAACTCGTTGGTTTAATAATTATTTAAATTTGCTATGAGTTTATGACTTGAGGTTTGGTTGGACGGACCACCACCTTATCCATTCCTCTTGTTAATTTATATTGCCAACAACTATATATATATTTCTCATTTATTAGTCAGGAACCATACTTGAGAACCAAAATGTGTTGCCTCTTAAATGGCCACATTTAAACAAAATCCACCGGCCGGTCATGCATGGAAAATTTTATATCCTCTAGTTAATACTCCGAAAGTTAATATACAATTTTCTTAGGGGAAAATGTCGTTAAAATCCCCAACTTATTCAAAACGTTGATTTAAATCCTCAACTCACGACGAAACGAAATAAATATCAAACTTATGTTGACTTTCCAAATAAATATTAAACTTATGACTTTCCAAATAAACACCAAACTTTCATTGACTTGGCCATATTAGGCATGACGTTAAGTGAGTTAACAGACAATGTTAACGGGATTAATTCTCTGTTAACAGACCCGCTAATTAAAAATGACAGTATTGTTGAACTATAATCAAATCTCATCTAAGTCATATAACCTAAATTTGTATTCATATAAATTAGTTATTTACGTAAGAGTCACGAATGTACGTACGTAGAATTGTATCTGTTCGTAAAGTTGTGTCTTTTCGATTAACACATGTACGTACACGTTGTTTCGTGTTGTATAAGTAGATCGAGTCAAACTCAATAACATCATTGTGTGTAATACATTTTATCTTATCAATAAAGATCAAGTTTCTTCATACTCTATTTTTCATTTTGGTTTTGTTCTTCATACTCTGTTAAAACAGAGTTCGTTTGTTGATCAAAACACTAACAAGTATTCCTTCTAAACATAAAACGACATTGTTTTGTCGTAACTGTTCAATAAAATCCCGAGTTTCAAATCATACTCTATTTAGGGTTAGGGATTTTGCTCGATTTGGGGATCTAAGATTGTCTTTAGGGATTTAATTCAATCGTTACGACAAAACGACGTCGTTTTGTTGTTATATGAAACAATATCGTTATCAATTAACATATATGTTAACAGAAAATTACCTCCGTTAACGAGATCTATTAACCAACTTAACGTCATACCTAATATGGCCAGGTCAACGGAAGTTTGATATTTATTTGGAAAGTCAACATAAGTTTGATATTTATTTAGAAAGTCAACATAAGTTTGATATTTATTTCGTTTTGTCATGAGTTGAGGATTTATTAACCCACTTAACGTCGTACCTAATATGGTCAGATCAACGGAAGTTTGATATTTATTTGGAAAGTCAATGAAAGTTTGGTGTTTATTTGGAAAGTCAACATAAGTTTAATATTTATTTGGAAAGTCAACATAAGTTTGATATTTATTTCGTTTCGTCATGAGTTGAGGATTTAAATCAACGTTTTGAATAAGTTGGGGATTTTAATGACATTTTCCCAATTTTCTTTTGTTTGCTAATGTCAATTTAAAATTTGAGGGAGAAAATAAATTCAACCTACAATCTATCCAATGGCCTCTCATTTCCAGAGTACACGAAGTATAACGGAATACATGGCTACACATGCCAAGTTTAAAAATGTACAACCAACTACACGAACTAAATGTATTGCATGCCCACATATACCAACTATATGACGACATGTGCTTAACATCACGAACATTTATTCCGGTACACTAATCAACGAAATCCGGCGTTGACCATTGTTTACCGGTATTGACCGGCATTGACCAACAAAAATATTCAAAAAAAAATTTAGTAATTAGTTAATTTTTTTAGTAAATATTCAAAATTTTTTTTTTTGTAATTAGTTAATTTTTTTAGTATTGACCGGTAGTGATTTTAATAATTAGTTAATTTTTTTAACTTCAAAACTAAAAAAAAGTGAAATGAAATAAATTTTATTATTTTTTTTAGAAAAATTGAGTATATGACTCTTTAATCTAAAGTTTGCATGTTTAGAAAATATTAAGTTTTTTTTGCTAAAATCAAAATCATAATACATAGTTAAAAACATAGAAAATTTTACATACTCTTTAGTCTAACTTTAATATATTATTAATTTATGTAATTAAAATTATTAAAAAAATTTCGTAATAACGGATAAATAACAAAAAAGGTCGTAATTTGTTTTTTTTAATATATAGCAAATAAAAAATCTAACGATATTGATTTTAGCAAAAACATTTATAAAATAAGAAGTTAATGTTTTTATTGACAATGTAAAAATAAGGAATTCGCTTAATTATTTTTATTTCACTTTTATTTTAGTTTTGAAATTGAAAAAACTAACTAATTATAATAATCAATTTATTAAATATATATACAAAATTAGGCCTGGGCATATGGGTAACCCATTCGGATTCGGGTAAAACCCGTTCGGGTTTGGGTTGAATGGGTAATGAATTTATGGTCCATTCGGGTATTCCTATGGTTTCGGTTTCGGTCCGGTTCGGATATTGTCGGGTTCGGGTCGGTTTGGGTAATACCCGAAGTTTAAAATCACTTTACATACTCAAATGATCAAATAAAGAGAATAGAACATCAAACATGACATTT